AAAAATTGAAATCGCATCATATGACCCCTTTAAAACAAACAGACATCGGGCGCGTTTTCTTTCAGAATTCAGCATTCGCCGACAGAAAGGAAAAGTTGTGCTGTTGCAAGTGCTGTTGCATTTTTTTTAATGAAAATAAGATAAAGAAGCTCACATCATGCAAAGGTGTGACATGTTACCCTACATTGACAGTATGCTACAAAATAGTTAACACGAAATAATACTTTTAAAGCCTTTAAAAAAAAAATGTCTTGGCTTATGTACCCTAGTGAAAAATAAATATACTAAAATGTATTTGATTGTTTTTTTTAATTCTAAGTATACTACAAAAAATTGAACTTTAAAACCCTGCAATTGAACTTTCACATGGGGCGTCAGCGTTAACGCTTGACGGAGGGTGTTTCTGAAGCTTGGTGCTGACGCGACCGTCATAGTGACAGCCAATCACATTAGTCTTCTGGTGTTGCATGAACGCGATTGGCTAGCGTCTGCTCTAGGGTATTTGCATAAGGTCATCTGATTGGCTGACGCCTGCGTTGGCGCTTGAAAAGTTGAAAAGTTTTCAACTTCTGCCGCGAGCAACGGACCCAACGTGACGCGACGGACCCACACTTCATTTCGCCAACACTTGACGTCACTCCATTCAAAGTAAACGAGAGGCGTTGACGCTGACGCCCCGTGTGAATGGGGCATAAGCCAGGACAGGCCTTAGTTAAATTAAGATATTTAAGCAGCTTTTATACAAATGCCTTAGAAAAAAAAACGTTTCAGGTGTGCATCTTGAGACAGAACAGTGGCAATGACATATTTTAAGATATGTAAGAGCAAGATATTATCAGTTGAGACAGCTCAAACATGCATTTTAGTCTGGGACTATAGCCTTAAGCCTTGTCTGTGAAACCAGGTATACTAAACTGGTATACTAGGTATACTAAACTGGTATACTTAAAGTCTGCTAAATTGGAACAACTAATATTGTATCGATGCGTTTTTGTAAAATTATCCATATTCAAAACGTAATAATCACTTTAATGTAGCTTGCGCCAACAGTCCTACACGGAAGCAGCTCCAGGCTGATGACGTATGAGTTCAGCGTTGCGCATGCGCCGGTGAGTCTCGTGAAAACCAACGTTTGTTAACAGGAGCAAAGGAAGCAAAGTTTCCTTACTTTAGCAAAGGAAAACCAGTCTCCTCTTGGCTTATATCAAAATCCTCCGACATTCTTCTTTACAAATCCTCGTTTTGTACTTCTAATAAGTGACCGTTGTTTTGTTTTGATCTCTCCCCTGCGCTTCCGCGTTCGTCACTTCTGAGCGACGCATGCGTAAAGCCGACCTCATACGTCATCCGCCCCGGAGCTGCTTCTGTGTACAACTGTTGGCGCAAGCTACATTAAAGTGATTATTACGTTTTGAATATGGATATTTTTCTTACAAAAACGCATCGATTCGCTACAGGAGGACTTTGTTCACCCCCCGGAGCCACGTGAGACACTTTTTTTTATAGATGGGGGCTTTTTATTTAACTTCTTTTGGACTGATGCATGCAACACCCGCTGAGTGCCATGAAACAGCTTGAAAGAAGTCATATGCACCTAGGATGACTTGAGGGTGAGTAATTTATGGGCTAATTTTCATTTTTGGGTGAACTAACCCTTTAATGCACTTTAATTGTGT